TCAAACGCAGGTGTAGGCAAAAATTTTCTTAATTTTAGTCTTTTATACCTTATTCACAAAGCACATAGTCTTTCAAAGATAACCACTTTTTATGAAAAATAATGCTAATTCAAAGAAAAACCCTAGTAATTAAAATTACAAATAGATGAATTTTTCAGTAATTTTTTTACAAAGTAAAAGGAAATTAAAACCTTTTAGTTCCAGACATTGTAGAAATCATGTTTGATGAATATTTAATGAAGGCAATTTTAAATATTTCATCACTGTGTATGTGCCATCTCCGGCTGAATAACTAATCCTAATAGTCATAAGAAATAATTAGGAATTAATAACATTTCTTCACTTACAACATAACTCCTGTTAATGTAGAGGCAACTGAAAGAACAGAATGTATAATCTAGGAACATGAACAAACTCTTTTAGACAGTAACTTCCATAAAAAACAAGTATCATTTCTCTATCACTATGTTAAAATAAACACAGTGTTTGACACATAGGAGATGCTCAAGATTCAATGAGTTACTGAATGAGTAGGAAAAAAAGAATGAGCAAATATCCCTTTAAAATAATGTGTTTTAATGGTAAGCAATGATATAGTATTGAATAATCATTTACGACAGTTCTGTTCCTTAATTTCCTCAGTTCCCTGGTAATGGTTATATATGGTTCACTGATTTGGTTGATAGAGAACAAATACTACTCTGTTGCACAATGGATAGTGCATTGGACTTCTAGACAGACAGAGAACAAAAACTATACTGCATACCTGTAGTTTGTTCTGGTACCCTCTAGCTGGAGCTGTGTAAGACAAAATTCACCAGGGAGCTGGGAAGGTGGCTCAGTGGTACAGTGCTTGCTTTGCATGCAGGAGGCCCCAGGTTCAATTACTTAGCACCACATAAACAGAAAAAGCCGGAAGTGGTGCTATGGCTCAAGAGCACTAGCCTTGAGCTGAAGAGCTGAGGGACAGCACCCAGGCCCAGAGTTCAGGCCCCATGACAGACCAAAAAAAAAAAAAAAATCACATGGCATAATTACTTAACATTGTCCATATGATTTCACATTGATATTCACATTTTTTCACATGAGTAATAATTTTTCTTACATAAGTTTCATGAATTCACTCTATTAAACAGGTAGCATAAAGATATAAAAATTATTCATTCAATTCTTATTTTATATTTAGAATTTAAAAATTCTCCAGCAGACAGAGTAACAGAGAGAGAAAAAAAAAGTCAAAGGTTCTGTGGCATTTGTTTAGATCTTTATCACAATTGAAGAGTGACCTGAAGTTAGAATTTACAGCTGTAATAATAGCCCTTGTATGAATTCTAAGAATTCTTTTTTTATTTCTTACTCTGTCAGTTAGATAATTAAGGAATATGGGTAGATTTCTGAAGAATCAGAATGTCTTTTTCTAAACAAGAAAAGAAATCTTTATGTAAAGAAACAAGCAGTAGCAATCTCCTTATGGGTACACCTTTATATATTTTAATAGTAAGATGGACAAGTTAGGCCCTCCACTTCGAACTGGAAGACATGTGCAAAGGTTGTATGACAGTGATACAAAGTCAAACAGTGCCTTCAAAAGACATGAGTTATTACCCATTTACAAGTAAGTATTTGTAACTCAGCTTGGTTTATCTTTTCAAGTACTTTCTTAAAGGCTTTATATCATAGAATACTGTTAACTTTTAGCTTCTTATACTTAAATAAAAATCTTAGCTTACTCATCTTTAAGCCCAAAATTGTTAAGTAACCTTCCAGGAGTAAGTATTTTTTTATTGTTGAACATTTTTGTTTTAATACTTTCTTAGATTATTTTTATTCCATTAAACTAATGGTTTTAATAGCATCCTTCAATGTTTTTATGAAGGATCTTTTTTATGTGTAATAGTTTTGAAAACAAAAAGAGGAAAATTATAATATTACTAAATAATCTGCTCACCACACACAAGATGAATTATTATGGCCAGAAAAAGAAAGATTTTTAGAAAGCACTTAATTAAGGAATTTTTAGGCTTTTTGTGAGATTTATAAATTCCACTTGAAAACAGGGAAAAAATATAGTGGTCCCAGAGACAGTCTAGTTTTCTCTGGCCTAGGTGAGCAAGCACTGAGTATGATGACATTCATTTTTGAAACTCTCCCATGAGTCTTCACGGTTTAAAATAGCAAGTTGAACTCTTACTAAATTTGAAAAAAATAGTTACTTTTTAAAAACAAAATATTATAATCTCTATATGAAATACATTAACAAATGTAACTATATGCAGTAACATAATGGGAAGTCTTTAATGTACAAGAAGATACATATACATGCATCTATAGCTGTCCATACACACATGCGTACCCATACACAGACACTATGGGCTATTTTTGTCTTGGAACTACTACCATTGACTTAACCTTCTGAAACAGATATCAGAGAATACCATAATTAAGCCTCTCTTTTATTATTTGATCTATAACATGCACATTCCAGATATGGAAAAGGGTGACACTTTTCAGACTGTATCCAGAAAGTAAAATGTTTTTCTTATTTTTATTTTTTGTATTATCTTTAAATAGTTGTACAAAGGAGTTTCAATTCAACATATCAGTTCATGACTACTTGCATCTTGATCAGTGCCTCCCCTTACAGAAAATGTTTTAATAATTGACAGTCTTCCTAATCTCTTCAGAATGGTTCTTGACAGATTCTACTACATAGCAGATGTTACTAAAAGCAAATAATAGACATTTAATATCACATTTTATGTAAATAACTGTTTTTCACTAATCATAATCATGTTAAGCAGCTTTATGTGATCGTGATATGGTAAAAGTAGTAGTCATGTGTATTCATTGGTGTTTATATCATCTATGTGAAACTGGTACAGTTTCTCTAACAGGATGATTTAAAACTTAAAAGAAAAGGAGGAAAACATATTTCCTACTTAAATGCTATTGTATGACTGATTTTTCTCTTAGAACTTAAACTCTAAGGGCTAGGAAGGTAGCTCAGTGGTAGAGCGCTTGCCTTGCATGCATGAGGCCCTGGGTTCGATTCCCCAGCACTACATAAACAAAACGAAAAAAACCCGGAAGTGGCGCAGTGGCTCAAGTGGTAGAGCACTAGCCTTGAGCTGAAGAGCTGAGGGACAGTGCCCAGGCCAAGAGTTCAGGCCCTGCGACTGGACCCCCCCCCCAAAAAAAGAAGAACTTAAACTCTAAGAAATATGCTATGCTAGTACATTTTATATAACCTTATGATACAAAAGTAGAATAAAACTTCGCGAATGGACTTGAAATTTATTTGAAGGAGAATAGGACATCCCATCCATACACCAAAGTGATTTTTTGCTGGTAGAACTAACTACTCAAAGCAAACACTGTGAATTGAATATTAAATATGAAATTTAAAGTACAACTCACTTAACTTGAAGTTTTAGTACTAAAAACTTTGAAATATCTAGTATCTATAGTCCCAGCTAATCTGTAGTCTGGGTTGGAAGGATCAATCTAGGCAATATATTGAGAACCCATCTTTATTTTCTTATTGTTACTATAAAGGTGATGTACAGAGGGGATACAGTTACATAAGCCAGGTAATGAGTACATTTTTTTTCCTCCTATCCCCACCCACCAGTTACATTTCATTTACCACATAGTGTCTAATGAGTACCATTGCTCCATTTGTTCACTCTTTTTTCCTCCATTTGTGTCCTTCTTACCCTCCCAAAGACAAAAAAGAAAACAAAAGCAAAAACAAAAGGGGAAAACAAGCCTCTTTTAAAACCCATCTTAAAAAGTTTAAACTTTGAAATGACTATAATATTATCTAAGATTTGAGAGACAATTACATTATATGCAGTGCCTAGAACTAGATTAGTCATGTATTTGACATGAACATTTGAAAAAGTCAGTTACTATCTACTTGTATTTTGGAAGTAGTTACTTAAACTTTTAGGAGAGCCTCCTCAGCTTTTCATATTAATGGGAAGAATTTCAAACTAAATTTCTGAATCTTGCAGTGTATTAGCTGTCACCTTAGGTAAGTTACTCAAGTGTGTGGGGTTTTTTTGGTCTTATTTATCTCATCTGTAAACTGAAATTATCAATTCTTACCTCTTAGGACTGTTTAGGAAGAAATTCACATGTGCAAAACAATTAAAAAAGTATTTGATATTTAGTTATCACTGTTATATAAATGGTAGCTTACATAGCAGCAATAATAGTAGTAACAGTATCAATAATAATAGTAATAGTAGTATCAATGATACTAAATGTTTACAAAAATTTATATTGCATAAACTTCCTGTATGTGATCATTTTATTAATCAGGGAATTCGGATTCAGAGAAGTTGACTACAATCACAGAGCAGTCAAGTAGCAGTTGGGAGTTGAATCTAAATTCCTATAAATCCCAAATCTTCAAATTCAAGTGCAGTGTCATTATTTAGCTTTCTAAGTTGCTCTGGTTCCTGAGGTTTCTCTATAGGAATTCAGTGCTGATTCAGCCTAAAGTCTCCCTGATATCAGATAGCCCAGGCTGTCCAGTTAGTGAAATAAATCTTTAAACAAAAGTTATGTTAACTTTGATTTTAATTACTTTTTCTAAGAATTTTCATAAATTAATTATTAGCCTCCAAAGTGGTAAGTAATATTTCTTTATGACCACATCCCATATACCTAGGATGGCAATAACACAATACAACTGTGTTTTGAGGGACTTCTAACTATAAGACCTTTGAAAAAATGATTTAACTTATGAATTTAATATGAAACATGTAACTATTTTAATTGACATATTTATTATCAGAGTATTATTAGTAAATGCAAGCTGCTTTGGTTGACCTTCAGTATTAATGTCTACCACTTGTTTTCAGATTTAAAACAGTTTGGATTTTAATCTTTTGTACTTCTCTGCAGCCTCTAATTACTTTTTTATTACACAAATAGGTAATTTGAGAAATAATTGATAGTCTTTCATCATGTTGTCTCACCTTCTCTCCTAGAGCTAACATCAAACCTCGAAATTCTACACCACCCAGTTTGGCAAGAAATTCTGTGCTTATGAACAAAAGAAAAGCATATAGTGATAGCTCCACAATCAGGTATGTTTAGTGCTACCATCCTGAACACCAGAATGAAAAAGAGTTTATTTATTTAGTTTTCCAAGTCTTCTGTGCAAAAATAAGTAATCAGCTAAATTCACAATCTGAATTTTTTTGTTAGCTGACTTAATATGACTTATATGTTATACTACACAAAAGGAATATTGAGGAGTATTATTTCCCTGCAGCTTGTAGTTATGTAGTTATAGCAGCATATTTTAAATGCTTAAAAACATTGTTCAGTAGTGCTACAAAATACTCTAAGGAGTATAATTTATAGTCATTGAATTTTTGGCATTATGTTTAATATTTCTTAACATTGGTATATTCGTATAAGTGCTCATTTCCTGAGATGTGCATGCTGTGGTATTTAAATTTATTTTGAAGTAGTTTTGTATTTATTTGTTTGTTGGTGGTATTCTGGGCCTTTCCCTGCAACAACGCTACCTCTTGAGCCACATCCCCAGCCGAAGTAATTCTTATATATTTCACTGACAGTAAAGCTGCTGTGTTATCCCTTGACACTTGTTCTTGATTAGTGTTACGACTTCTAATTAATTCAATACTTCCATTTGTAGTTTATATGAATTTACTGTAATACCTAACAGTTCACCACTTGTTTCAGAAAATTGTTGTAATTTCACAGTCTATCAGAATAAGAATTACACAAAAGAAGATATATAATTATTTGAATCTCTGTAGCTTTTAAGTAGATAGTGGGTTTTCATAGAAAATCCAGTGATACTTGTATCAACTCTAACCTATTTGTATGAAACAATATACCTAGATCCAAGAACCCTTAGTGTTTTTAGTTATACCTTTGTAGAAAAACTACTATTTTCAATAGTGTTATTTTTATAAGCCTGTGATTTAAAAATTTCCTTCATGGCAATTTTTAAAGTCAATGACATGTTCTCAGAAGAATAGTGCCCAAGTTTCTTTAGTAGTCTGAATTTCTTGACTGTCTGGCTTCTGTAATAAAATACTTAGAAGCTCAAATGTTTTGTTTAAACTTTACTTTGGTGCGTAGTTCTTCAAGCATTTATTTTATCCTCACTGCTGTGTATTGTTAATAAAGCCTATGCTACTTGAGGATGCAAGGAACTTACTATTTATTTAATTTAATATACTAATTTAATATAATAAGATCAAAGTAAATAATAAATAGTGGAAATATCACTGCATCTCCATAGTACTTTTGGACAAGGAGAGAGAACTAGAACCTGACAACCTCCATCTGTAGCCTGTGTTTTATATTTCTCTCTCTTTCTTTCTCTTTCTCTCTGTATCTGTCTTTCCCTCTCCCTCTCCCTCTTTCTCCCTTTTTTACTTTTTCTTTTTTTGTGTGCTGTACCTGTACTTGAACTCAGGCACTGTCTACAAGTCTTTTTGCTCAAGGCTAGTACTTTAGCATTTTAGCCACAGCTCCATTTTCAGATTTTTGGTGGCTAATTGGAGGTAAGAATCTCATGGACTTTCCTGGCTGGGCTGGCTTTGAACTGCAATTTATTGTTTTCAGTGTTAGGGCATTAACTAAGCCTAGGTGCTGCCCCTGAGCTTTTCAACTCTAAGCTAGTGCTCTACCACTTTGAGCCAAAGCTCCACCACCAGTTTTCTGATGGTTAATTGGACATGAGTCTCACTGACTTTCCTTTGGTTTCCAGCTCAGATCCTCAGATCTCAGCTTCCTGAGTAGCTATCATTAGACATGAACCACCAGTGTGCAGTTATGAACCACAGTTTTTATATCTTCTCCTAAGTACCTGGGATTACGTGCAAGAGCTACTGGTGCCCAGCTCTAGTCTTTCTTAATAAGATGGTTTTTCAGGAAGGACATTGTAAATTTTAGTAAATGACTATACATTGAACAAGATGGAAAGTGTGACTGCATTTGATCATTGACATTTCTTCTAGTGGGTACAAATGTAATGTCAGACCAGTTGGAATTATTGTATTTCCAGCAAGTTTTTTTTTATTATTTTGTTTTTGTTGGTTTTGGGTTTTTTTGAGGGGGAGGGACAGGGGAAGGAATCTGGTACTAGGGCTTGAACTTGGGTCTTAATGCATTTGTTTGGCTTTTTTGCTCAAGGATAAAAGACCAGCATTACCACTTGAGCTATACATACTCTACTTCTGGCTTCTTTCTGGTTAATTGGAGAAAAGAGTCTCATGGATTTTTCTGCCAAGGCTGGCTTTGAGCCATGATCCTCTTGCCTTAGCCTCCTGAGGAGCTAGGATCACAAGTGTCATCTAGCCACCAGCGTCAGACAGCAGTTTTTTTTTTAACTAGAAGAATATTAAAAGTGACATTTTAGTTATTTTTATTATGTTATGTCCTTCAGTAGTTGTGTTTAATTAACTACCAATATGAACCTTTTCTCCATCTTCTTCAGGCCAGATGGAGACTATGCATCTTCACTTAATGGTGGAAGTATCAAAAGCACTGAAGGAAATTCATCTGGACACTTACCTAAATTCTGCCATGAATGTGGGACAAAGTACCCTGTAGAATGGGCAAAGTTCTGCTGTGAATGTGGCATTCGAAGAATGATTCTGTGAACAGAATCCCAAAAGAACAAATGCCAGCTTCAGAGCTTTATAATTATTGCTGCTTGGACAGCTAAAGCACTTCCTCTAGTTATTTTGTGCTGAAACTGTTCAAAAACCTTGCTCCCATAATTTTTGAAGCATAATTCTTTGGTTGTACATATGTATATATATGTTGTACATAATAAATACCTGATATCCCAAGCTGTGCAATTCAAGAAAATACTCACTTAGCTATCAGAAAATAATTCCATCTTATTACCGTGGGTATTATTCATCTTTTGTTGTTAAAGCACATTCACTATACCTCTACAAATACTCTTACCTTTAGCCCTTCAAGCTTTAGGATAATCACAACTTTGAGCAAACAATAGGATAAATATTGTTATTATTGGTGCCTGTCTTCAAATAGCAGGATGGGCAACTGTGGATTTTGTAATTGAAGAGAATGTTTTAATTATTATCACTTGATAAGTCATATTCCTGTTGAACTCTTGGCAACTAGTTTTATGAAATACCTTAGGTTTATATTACTCTGAACTTTGTAGATTATTAATTGTATAATTTATGTTTCCTCCATCCTGTGAAAATAATTATGGATTTTTTTCAGAAACACAATACTAAAATTACAATGTATCTTACAACTGAATATTTTTTTCATTTCTGTGTTATTTCCTAGATGTTACTGTTTTTCTTTTTCATAATCTCTCTAAAGAATAGATTGAACTTCCAACATATTTTACAACATATACACAAAAAAATTGTATTTTCTGTTCAACTCGTTTACTAAAAGAATCGATCATTGTTACTTTCAGTGTAACATAAAGTTGGCTATATGTTTCTTTGATGGCTTGTACTACTCTAGTCAGTAGTAGTTTATGATCTTTAGTAGTTTATGATCAATCAGACTTGTTAGCTTTATCTTATTATAAAGATAAAAGCAAAAATTTTATGATGTGTTTTTCCTAAAAGATTTATGTTATATATTTTCTAACCTCTTGTTTGTGATTGATCACAGTAAGGATCAGTGTAGAAATGTGTTGCTTGGAATTTTATTTCTCTGAAATGTATGTAGTTTGTTTTATTTTGTTAGTTTGGGCAGGAGTTATAAACCTAGTGGTATAGTTATAATCATTTTACTTATAATTTTCTGCTGTTTTTAAAATCAGTTTGGTTCCTAATTGTTCTGTTCATCCATACTGATAAAATAATGCAGCAACTCAAATAAGTTACAAGGAGTTTAGAAGACTAATGTATATATTAGATTTCCATTTTAAAAACTTTTTATCCTAATTATAAATCACATGAAAAGGAACTTTTGTGTGTATATGTGCTGATAATGGGACTTGACTCAGAGACCATCTTCTTCTTGCTTGCTCAGCTCATTTTTCTTGTGTCTGCAGCTTTACTACTGGAGACACTTCTCCAGTCTGGCATTTTGCTGGTTAATTGGAGAGATGGAATGAATCTTAACAGTTTTCAGACCTCTTGAGTAGCTAGGATTATAACGAACTTTTCACTCTTGTTTTATCTAGGAATGAACACTATCTTACAAGCATATATTTAACACTACATAATCTTTTTTTTTCTGCTCAAAAGAGTGAATAGATACATCAGTTTAAATAAGACAAATTGGCACATGTTTGTTTCTTAGTGAATTTTACAGTAGCAAGTAAATGTTAGTATGTACTACATGGAAATGACTTTGTAAGGAATCAGCAATCCCAGAGCCCAGAGATAATTATAAAAAGTAACGTAAATATATTTATGTCTTATGAAACATGACAATGTATTTAAATGCATTTTCTATTACATAATTTACTCTAACATTGATTTGTTGTGCAATAGTTTTTAAACAATCTTCCTATGCATCACCTATTTTCATTTGTATTTATTTGCACAGGTATTTGTCGGTGTGACTGAATTTTTAAAAATGATTGTAAGCTTAAAATGTAAAAGTTGCTTCTAGATTATTCTGAACATTTTTAGCTTGAAAATGTAGGATTATTGTGACTGCTGTTTGTCCCTTATTATGTTTTTTTTTATTACAGATACCTTCAATTTAATCAATAAAGACATGAAGCCTAAAAATTCTTGTTATTTATTAATATCTACTAGACAAAGAAATATAGGAACACACTTGAATGTAAATAAGATATTTGAAGTAAAAAAGTTCATTTCAGAATGAAAATGTATCTTTACATTTTTTTATGTCAACAGGTTTTTACATTTTATTGAATTGTTTTAGGACTTTTAAGGTACTCTTAAATGTTTTTCTCCCAGGTTTTTGTTTTATACATAGAATAATTTTCTTTACACTCAAAAGTTAGAAATTGAATATAGTATCATGAAGGTTGATTGGGAATTTCTAGGTAAGTATTCTGTGATTTAATGGCAAAAATCTGTTTACTGTTAACATTAAATCAGGCAATATTTTGAGTTTTTATAAAAACGCTCTTTATGGTGAAAACCAGACTATACATATTTCATTTGTACTTGGTTTTGCTTAGGCTAAAGGAGTAAAAGCTGAGAGGATGAAAATGTTATGCACAGATACAAGTTAATGCAAGTCCTAGGTATGTGTTTATTTGCCTTAGATATCTAAATATTTTCTATGGTTAATGTTCTTAGTACATTAATTTTCCAACTGATGATGTTACTGAGTAGAGCCATGATATGATTACCACACATACTATTTTCACTTAGATATATTTCACTTAAGTGTTCAGGATGCTCATTGTTTGAGTTCAGATACACTTAGTTTATGTGTGAATTGTGTTTTGCCACTAGAGGGTGCTTTAGGATAATTTAATTACTAGCCTTTAAAATAACTATTTTAAGTAATTTTATTATTTTAAGTGTCAAAATTATTCTACATAGTTATTTTACCAATACAATTGTATGTTTTTGCTAGCTTACATTGGTTATGCAGAGGAAGATTTCTTTGTTACCTTTCCACACGTTTACAGTGTATTCCAATTTTATCTTAGAATTTTTGGCAACATGCCATTTAAGAGATTTACAAAAGTCATTCTTATGTTGTGAGTTTAGTAATTTATATATTGATATTTTAGAAATCCAGTTTAACTCATCTTGACCACCAGCATGGTGATAACTGATAGAAATATTTAATATTTATGTCTCCCAGTATTTTATTAGCAGAATTGAAGGTATCTCAATGATATCACTAAGTCATATTACCAAATACCTGAAATATTATTTTAACATGTTATCTAAGTTGCATAACTAATTCTATGGATTATATTCTTTTTTAAAGAAACTAGATTCCTTCTCAACTCTTTCCCCAACCCCCACCCCCCATTTATCTAGGCTAACACATGAGGTATTCTCTACTTAAGTAGGAGTCAGTAAATAATAGTTAGAATAGGAGTCAGGTAGAATAAACTAATGTGTAAAATACTAAAAATTAAAGTTTTATGCTTATAAATCTTGCTGTTCCTTATGTATATATGAAAAAAACTTAAGTCTGGCAATTATAGGTACACCTATTTTGTTATCTTATTCTTTTAATAGTTCCATAGATTAGAATTTGGTCAAAATATGGGCTGACATGTTTTACAACAAAATTTAGAAATAGAGTTGGGGGGGAGGGAAGTGGGAGAAAATGAGGGAGGGATAACACTGTTCAAAAGCAATGTACTCATTACCTTATTTATGTAACTAACCCCTCTGTATATCACCTTTACAATAAAATTTAATAATTACAGAAAAGAAATAGAGTCACTGATAATCTCAGCAATTAGGAAGCAGAAAAATTAGAGGTTCAGATTTTGAGGCCAGCTCAGGTAAGAAGTTAGGGACACCTCATCACAACTGATAAAAAGCTGATGGCAGTATACTTTGTCATCCAAGCTATGTAGAAACCCTAAAACAGGAAGATGTCAATCCAATCAGTCCTAAGTATATTTTCAACTTCCATCCTCCAGAAAAAAAGGGATAGGGCATGGTTTAAATGGTTGATAGAGTACATGACCAACAACTACAAGACTGAGTTCAACCCTAGTACCATTAAAAACATTAGCAATCGGAAAATTCCATTTTTTAAAATTTTTCAGAACGTTTTAATTTTTTTCTATTGTTGCAAAGGTGATAGAGGGGTTACCATTTCATAAGTCAGGTGAGCAATGTCACCATACAGGACTAGGCATTCACACATGGTGAGACCAAAGGAGGATGCTCTTAGGGGAGGAAGCCAAAGGTGCAGAGCCTCTGAGCATATAAAATAATATGTATTGAAATTAATTCTCAGAAATGGAAACAAAGGTTTTAGGTTTTTTTCCTTCCTTTTTGTCTTGTAAATTCCAGACATTTTAAGAACACATATCTTTATGTTCTCTGTACCTATGATATTCCTTTTTGAGTAAACTTATAGTGTAGAAATATTACTTGGGGATTAACTGAATTTAATAATATAATTACTTGGGGATTAACTGAATTTAATAATATAATGGAACACAATATTTCATCTTTTACTAAATAGCTATCTCATGTTTAACTTTTCCTATAGACAGTAGACAAAAATCATGTATTCTTTGAGAAAGATAAAGTAGTTCAATTTATTTAAAGTATAGTTTAAAATAAGGTACTAAGATAAATCTGACAAAGTACATACAATGCATGAGACCTATAATAAAGCAATGGGAACCTAAAGGGAAATTTTAACATTGTCTAGATTTACCATGAAAGCCACAGTCACTCAGGAGAAAGAAATTGAGATACCGATTGAAGTTTGCACAGAAGAGTTTCCCAAGAAGTAAGAATCTAATCTTGTGAAGACTGCCTCTCTTTATAGAGAGCCATAAAACTATCTCACATACAAAATAGAGTATGTGTTTCTGAAAATTTTTATAGTACAGTTAATGAAACGTTCTTAAGCTGGCTGGCAGTGATGCAAAAAACTTCTATTTCAGTTTTCCATAGTTTAAGAGATTTGGAAAAGCTGATTAATTGGTACTAGGTTTTAGGAAAAATATGGTTGCTGTTCTGTTACCCAGTGGGTAACTTCTACAGATCACAATATTGTAACAAATATTTCTAAAAATAAGAATTGTGAATATTTTCCCACAAAGAACTAATAAGTGAAGAAATAGTTCTGGTTTGAACATTACATAAAATATGTATACTAATATATACTGTGTATACTAAAACACTAAATGTTTTAACTAAAATATGGTATTATCTGGTGAATTCAAATGATGTAATTCCTTAGAAAGGCTAACTTAGCCCAACAAAATAAACACCAGGAAATGAATACTAGTAAGATATGAGGTGGAGTCAAAGGGCTGGGGGAAATGAAGAAAGGAAGGTGGAGAATGGAAGTCAGTTCATATCCTACAGGATTAAGAGGAGGACTCAGAGAAATGGGAGAGAATGAGGAAAGGGATAACATCAATCAAGATGTGTTGTATTCAAAAATTGCTTTGTCAAATTGGAGCTCATTTGTACAATTGAAGATAATAAAAAATTATAAAATAAAGGGGCTGGGCAACAGTGGCTCAGCCTGTTGAGTAGCTTGTAATCCTAGCTACTCAGGAAGCTGAGATCTGAGAATCATAATTCAAAGTCAGTCCAGGCAGAAAACTCTTGTGAGATTCTAACCAGCAAAAAGCCAGAAGTGGAGTTATGGCTCGAGTGGTAGCATTGAGCAAAAAAGCTAAGGGAAGTGCAAGTCCTTGAATGAAAGTCCCAGTACCAGCAATTTTAAAAGCCACACAAAAACACAAAAATGGCACCTCAGAAAAATACACAATCTTGTGTCCCAACTTAAAAAATACATTAATCTAAAGAAGTATTTTCTTAAAGGCCTGTTTTAAATAAGTAATTCAACAAATAGCTTTTCTATGAGTCAATATTCTTGCTAACATTATTCTGCTAACATATTAATCATATTAACCTTGTATTAATGATTTCACATAAAAATGGTATTATTGTATAATCACATTTTGGAAATGCTGTATTTGTGCTAAACTTTAAAATCTATATGAATTTACAGAACAGTTGGTAATTTTATGAACTGTGAATCTCCAATTCATAAATGGAAAAAAATTATATAGCTTCAGAACTCAGAAAATTCCCATTTGGGTTTCTTGGGCTACACTTTAGAAAATTTAAATCATTTATATGCATAGTTGAGAAATATTTCATTGAGACAAGTCTGCAAGTATAGAATTTTATAAAATGAAACCCAAGATTATTATTAACCTGCCTTCTTTGCCTCTACTTACTTTGCTACTAGTGGCTAGGAAAGAATAGAAAGGAAAATACAACTGTAAATATAACAGGAATTTTTCCAAGCACTTAGCACACTATTTGTTGAATATATTTTTAAGTATAAATTTTCTGTACAACACAAACAACTGATTAAAAACCAAGGAAAATTTTACTAACTCCTAGTGAGCATTAGGAAAATCTCTCCCCTCATTTTGCCATAATTGGAGAATGTTTTTCAGCATCTTTATACAGCCTTCAAGCCTCCAGAAATTTCAAAGTCCTTGTTTCTCTGAGGACCTCCCAATAGCACCAGTTGACAAGAGTGGAGCATACCAAATAGTTGATCATCGTTCATAGTAGAAACACAACCTAACTGGAAAAGTACATCTGAGTGAAAGAAGTTAAAAATCATTTGCTTCTCACCAACTAGTTTTCTCTCTTTTCTGGAGTGAATGTTAGTAAACACAAAATAAAGTAATGAAACTCCATGGGTATAGGGAAGTGAGAGGGAACAGAAAGGTGTTGCTGTTGCACATTTGAAGTGCCGCTCACACTGTAGATCAAATAGAGTTGCAGTTAAATAGCTGGAGATGAGGTTGTGAAAGGATAGGAAAGATGTGAGTTCAGCAAAGCACAAACTGGGAAGTTTTTGTTGCACTTTTGCCTTCCTAGAGTAATATTTTCACTTACAACTAAATGAAAATAAACTTTTATATTTTTTTGAAAACAAAGATTACCAGTAATAACAGATTTGTACAAAGTTATCTTTTACAAGGCTAAGAATTTACATCCAGAGTAATTTTCCTACTCCTATATAGGTTTAGGGACCTGATTCCATGTTGATTCTTGTTAATAAAGTATGAAAAATCATATATTAAATAAAAATGGAACACCAAGTGGTTAAATATTAAAGTTTTTCCTGTGATTAAGTGAATCTCACAGTGTTAGCACATAGGTAATTTATTGTCAAAGACGAATTGTTATGCAAAGTAGGCAACTTGTTTTTAGTATTGTATGAAAATATTTTTATATACAGATGTGTCAAAATTAAATATATACAATCCATTAATTAAAAGGCTAACATATATTATCTCTCAAAATACACTTCCAAATTTGAAAACTTGTTTTATTATACATAAATGAAAAAACTTTACTACTGTTTAGATTTCTTAAACCGAATGTATTTCTTCTATTTTTAAAAAATTTTATTTTCATTTTAAGTACTTTATCATTTTCTGAAGGCACTGTGGTATAATTCACATTTACTTACATGTCTTGTTTTATCACTTAAGTATCTTGGGTTTTTATGGTTACTGCTTTAAAGCATTTGACTCATTCTTGTGAATATTTTCTACATATCACTATGAGCTCTAAATATCTAAATTGTAGAAGGTGGCAATTTCCATTCTTGCTCCAGTTCCTGGATGTACAATGGGCAATAAAATTACCTTTATAGTAAAACAGTTACAATTTTGTATTCTTACAACCTTTATATACTTTGTAGATTTTATGTTTTCTGAAATATTTGAAGAAGTTTAATTAGTATTATTGCGAAATATGCTTTACGTGAATTGTTTTATAAAATCTGTACAGTTATACGGACTGCTATATGTTCACATACATATGAAACAGTTGTTGACTAGGAAATAATTTTCCATTGTTTATGTCCATCTTCTAGTATGAAAATGTAGATTTCTCAGTTGCTCTAATCATCATTTTCCAGGATGCATCCAGCAACTTACTCCAATTACAAAGGCAAATTAACTCTTGTAGGATGGAACTTCAGGACTTATGGTTCTGTGCTGCCCATCAAAATTTTATTCCAACAAGTTTTTATCTCTTCTAATAGTCTCTTAAGGAAACATGGGTCACTCTTTTTTTTGTCCTTTTTACTTTTTTCTTCCTAGAGAAATAAATAGTAAATGTTTTAATTTTATATTTTAATAACATACTTTAAAGTGTTCAATCTTTATCTAAAGGAACTGGAGAAATTTACATGCCATTTTACAACCCAAGATTTCTGGTCACAATTGTGACAAATGACCTGTGCTAAATTGAAGGTTGGTTTATTTTAAGATTTAGCTGTCATTTTCACACTGCTACAGAGGACATAAGACTGTCCAAACATATTTAAGGTGATTTTTTTGGAATACTCAGTTGAATATTTTAATATGGAAAAATATACTTTTTTGTAGAAGGGATAATTAACAGTGAAAGTATTTAAATTGTTTTGGAAAAAGTAGCTGATTGAACTTATACCCTAGAATTCACGCCAAACTACAGCAGATTTCTACCTCCTAAACTAGTGTTTCTAAGCATCTGATAAGAACTTTTTAACTGTATTGTTTTTGTCTTTTCTTTTTTGGTACTGGGGATCGAACCCAGGACGTTGCGCTTGCTAGGCAAGCGCTTTGCCACTGAGCTACATCCCAGCCCTGATAAGAACTTTTTAAAAAATGAAACTGAGCAATGTTAGAAAGTGAATAAATGAATCTTGGCACAGACATATGAGGAGGTCACCCTGTAAAGACTACTGTATTTCTCTGAGAGGGGAAGGTGTTTTCCCATTTAGATAACAAGCACTTACTGAGTATTTTTTAAGTCAGGTATTACATGTAGTACTTTACAAATATTACTGAATTTTTTGTTTACTAACCCTTTGAATTTGATCATTTCACCTCACTTAACAGATGAGGAAACTAAGCTACCAAGAGGATAGAAAGTGCCAAGTATATCAGGTAACTACAGTGGCTAATCTGGAATGCGTCTGTACAGTTGGCTTTTTGACTTTGCATGTTATTTGGTGAAGTCCCTAAAGTGGAAAATAACAATAGTGATAAGCATTATATTAAGCATGTAAATCATTTGTTGTCATGTTATGACAGTAACTATTTTCAACATCCTAAGGTATAGATATTATATTTTTATTCACTTTAAAGTTGAGGAAATAGTTGTCTCTGTTCAAGAATATATCTTGTCAATCCTATTGTCTTTAGTATATTACTTTTAATAGAAAAGTAATTAAAATTTAGGCCTATAAATATCAAAATTATTACAGCAATACTGATTTCTCCTTGGGAACCAGATGAACAAGTTTGTTCTAAATGGAGACTCCTGGGCGGAGTAAATACATCTCAACCATAATGACCATAATCACTTAGATCTCTATGATAATGGGCATCATCATCCATCAAAGAATGGTAATATACAGCACAATAGTATTTTATATTTTGTTCACAATAGACAGTCCCAGCTTACCTTACGGCTGGTGCAGTTCACTAGAGCTAATGTACCTTCTGAAACTTTTGATAAATGATCTCCGAAATCCTCACTGATATTCATGTTATGAAATTGCTTCAACTTGCCAGCAGCACGATTTAGAAAAGCAGCTTTCTAATGTAAGGGGGAAAAAATCGGACTATGATCCAAAGGAAATGTTAAGAAATTAGAACTTTCTCAAGGAGCATAAGGCAAAAACTGTAGTGCTAAGTAACGCCCCACACCTCCACCTCAGCTTTCCATTCCAGTTAATCACGTGACTGACAAGTAACAGGATTGAAACTGTTTAGCTCCTAGGCAACAGGTTGGACAGCATAAAGTGCCTAGTACTTGGTTTAATTATTGTCTGACTCTGAAACTCTCTTTATCATGTATGTGTGATCTATCACTTAAGGGTGAATATTACAAGAATTATTCACATATATCACTTCAGGAAAACTGAAGGAGGTTTCTTCAAGCAAAATGAGTGAAGGTATGTGTGCTTTGGTTCTTAATGATTTCATTTTTTTAATATTTTGAGTTATGGAGGAATAGATGGTAATTAGAAAAGAGAAAATAGTCACTTAAAAGGTGTTTACTCCTAAACAATATTTAAAGTAAGCAATTTAGAGTAAAGAATTTATAGTTTTAAAATGCAATGACATTAACTCCGCAACTGTGAGTGTTTAAGAAAAAGAACATCAAACAGCAAATCAGTTTCTGCAGGAAGAAACACATGTTATTGTTTTAAATTTAAACAAATAGTGAAAGAAGTAAAAAAATGCCTATAAACTTAATTATACTCATGACTTATGTCTGTATGTATGCTAGGAATCATTTTAACCAGACTTTTCCTTCATAAGAAATTTAGAAAAAAATTATTTTTAATTCAATTCTTCTAGTATTTTCAAGGTGAGAAATGTTGAAATAAAAGAAAATATTATTGTAAGGATAGAGCTATTTGTAAAATTTAAGAAATAATATAGTGTAATTTAATGGGTTAATGACAAATATATCGTTAGAACCAAAAATGTTATTAATATATTAATTTGAGTGCAAAAAGTAAAAACTTTTAAAAAATAAGGTTTAAATGAAAAATAAACTCCAAATAAATAAACTCCAAAAATAAACTCCAAATCTTTACCTTTGTATCATCACATGAATGCTTTTTAAAAAAGTTTGATTCATTATTCAGACAATCACTATCATTTCCTATTATTTTGACCTGTAATAAATATAAAATAATTTTGTTAAAATGATGTCTCTTCTAATGTAATTTAAAACAATCTCATAATATCCTATATTTATGTGTGCTACTTTTGACTTATTCTACTTAGAGGCATACAATAGTTTTCCATTTGAAGAATAACCATTATATATATACACAACTCCCACACATATATAAAACACCTTTCAGACTCATAATTTAGTAGTTTATTACCTAACAATTGGAATATATACAGAAATAAAAGTTCTTATTTTAGAGGTAATATTAGATAAAATGCGGTAAAATTTCTATTCAAGAAGTAGAGATGATTTTAAAGATTATTCCATCAAATGTTCTGCTACCTAACAGAGAAAGGAATTTACATTAAAATGAAGGAAAAAATACCTCTTGGTAGAGTTAAGAATGAAATTAATTATACAAAATTTTAGACAATCTAATTTTTTCTGGTGTGCTTGAGTTAGAAATTTGAATATATTATTTATAGTTAAAAACCAGGCTGGTATAAGCTCATTTCTGTATTATTTCTGAGGAATGTAGTACAACAAAGTTGGCATTACGTGAATCAAGAATTTCATTGGCAGTCTAGGAAGAACTTTCTAAGGATCAAATTCTTTTATAAAAGATATTATACTGTCTCTGTCCAGAAAACTAGGATGTCCATGCTATCAAAGTTTCTAGGAAGACTTCAAGCAATCTAAGTCTATTAGGCGTAGGGAAATGTTTTTTTTTTCCAAGTGCTATTTATGTATTTATAACATCAATTGTGGGCCATACAAAACTATCAATACAGGCAGATGGCCATAAAGCAGCCATGCCTCTCCTGTCTTGTACCAAATGATTTCTTAGCTTTTTTGTGCCTCAATGATCAGATGTTCCCATCCCTACCTGTTATTAAAGAAAGGGAAGTAGTGGAAAGATAGGGTTGCTTCTAATTTTCACTTGCCTCTCAGATAAGTATGCAGGGCTCTTATCATCTATGAAAAGAATAATTGGTCTCTGGGTTTATCTTGTCTTATCTGCAGGTAGTTCTTTATTTTTTTAGTTCTGAAGGTAGTTCTATCTGAATACATTCTTGTTTTGCTTAAGAGTTCAATGTTTTCTAAGTGTGAAGTATTCTGCAAAACTGTACTTGGAAACAAACTTTAGAAAACAGGTCTAATTTCTGTGCTATTTAATAGAAGGGACAGTCACTCAGACCCTTAAATACATTTACAATCACTTCTTATCTTTGAAAAAGTATGCTTTTGGAAAGAGAAGATTAATTAGTGTCAAACAACTGAGTTATACTATAAAGATATAAAGTGCAAAAGATACATTTTCTATAATGATCTTCAAATTGCCATTATAAAAATTCCTGAGATCATAGATAAGAGCTATTATTGTCTATTCATTTTCCTGTTGACTTCTCTTTAATCTGAAGAAAAGGCTAATATACAATTCCATTTGGTAAAGCACATAACATTTGATTTTCTGCTGTGCCAGCTTTCACAAAAGTAGGGAGACTAATGCATAGCTAATCAGCATGTTTTCCAATTTACCAAAATATTGTCTGAGAAAATGTCATGGAATTACTGACAATTTTTTAAAATATTTCCTTATATGGCATAATATTTGAATATTGGAAAAACATTATTGGTTAGCATCAGGCTATTAAGTTCATTTTTATCAGATCTATAGAAAGGAAATGTTGTTCCAATTGTGTTTACCTAATGTTTTTTTCAGATTATAAAGGCTTTACTATGCCCTTAAAAGATGGACCTCTGTAAAGGCCTCAATTACTATTAACTAGTTGAATTCATAATTTATGAATACATTTAACATAGGCAAATAAAAGTATCAATTAAATTGCTTTCTGAAATTACATTCAAGCCCTAACAGAAGAGCCACTAGAAGTAAAAATTCTTGCAGTAGAAAAGAATCTTAAATGCCTATCTCCTGATTTAACAAAAAGTAGAATTATTTACCAAAGTTAAAATAATATTATTTAGGTTATCTTGACTTATTCCAATCTATTGGAATCACAATGATTCATGTTAAGTTGTTCCTAAATTAATGTCTCAATTTGAAAAATTAGATCTATTATTGTAGCATAGTTTTTCTATCTATAAAATTTAATATATTTTGTCTCTTTTTAGAAACACTAAGTATACATAAAATTTTCTATTTTATTTTGAAATTTATATTTATGATTCAAAAAATTGTTCACTTTGTGTATATTATTCCATTATTTCTTACATATGTCTGTTTAATGGCCTTTTGTTATAGATGTGGGGGGGGGTGCTGTCCCTGAGCTTTTGTGCTCAAGGCTAATGTTCTACCAGTCAAGCCACAGCTACACTTCTGGCTTTTTTTTGTTTGTTTGTTTGTTTTGGTAGCTACTTGGAGATAAGAATCTCAGGCTTTACTGCCCAAGCTGGCTTCAAAAAACAATCCCCAATCTCAGCCTCCTGAGTAACTAAGCTTATAGGCATGAGCCACCAGCACCTGGCTTCTGATATGTATATTTTCTTCTTCACTTTTTTCCTGTTTGCTGTTCTCTGATATTGTGTGGATTTTCACTCTTTTTACCTCTCTCTCTCTTTCTCTCTCTCTCTTTCTCTCTCTCTCGCTCTCGCTCACCCCCTTCTCTCTCACTTTCTGTACTAGAAGAGGCAATCTATGTAATGTTTAGTATTTTATGAACTTACAATGCCAGAGAGATTTTTCCAGCCCATTAAGTGGACATTATAACTAATGTAAAATGTGCAATTAAATAGATCCATTTAGATTCATTATTTTAAGTTGGAATCTACATACAATTTTGGAACATTTTTGAGGACTCTAGGGTAACAGGATTCTTTTAATTTTATTTCTTCCACATTTTTGCCATTTGTTAATTTTCTTCTTTAGTCTTTTTTTCTCCAAATATTTCTTTATTGAGATTAAATGAAGACATAAATTTCACGATACTGTGGCATAGTTATACTTAGCTAAAGTCAAAAAACATCTTAACCTTCACAATGTTATTCATCATTATCTTAATCTACAAAGATTATGAACTCTACGAACCTTAAAAAACTATTTCTTACAAATCAGATGATATGTATACTTCTTTTTGCTTAGTATCAGCTATCCCCTCTTTCTCTATACCCTATATATAAGGGTACTTGTATAATGGTACTTGTGATAGCATTTTAGTTCACCTGGATAATGCATATAAACTCTCTGATTTAATCCCATTTTCAGACTCCTAAATTTCTAAGGATTAGAAATTAATTTTTGTGTGTCCATTATTTAGCCGACAACAAAGAAGTATGTTTCAGTACTGACTGATGATAGGTTTGATAAAAGACCTTCTTTTGGCAGTGATTCTTACTGAATTCTTCCCCAATATAGGCTTGTGATATACTTGAAAAACTGAGTTTATCCCCTTGTACTCTACTTTGAGTGTAAACATCTTGTAGCACTTTGTGTTCATTATTATTCATTATTGTTCATTATGTTATATTGTATTATATAATAATATTATAATCACAATGTATTGTATTCACCATTCATTATTGTGTTCATTTTATATCTACTATTACATAATCATCTGCCACTAAACAAAACATAAAACAAACATTATGGTTATTATTGTGGTTTAAAAAGTTTGGAGGAGCTCAAATAAGAGCATTTTCTATGAGAATAGTTAAGATGTTTGCCTTGTCTATATTCACTTGAGCATGACTAAGATAAAGGATCCAATCCCAAATGTGTTTCATTCATACAGCTATTTCAAGAGATCTCAATGTCTTTACTGGATGAGCCTATTTCTGGTATTAATACAAGAATACATGTCCTTTTCATACTCCATCTCAAAAGGTAGCAAGACTTAGTGAACAAAACTTATCTAGTAAAGCTGGTGGATCATGGTCTCTACAGCCTACCCAAGCAGAAATTGAAAGTAAGAAGGATTAACTATACTTCTCTCTGACAAAGTAGACTTCAAGATAAAATTACTTGGAAGAGATCAGGAAGATTAATTTATGACAGGAAAGGAAGTGATCCATCAAAAGGTATCTCAAGGTTAGGTGTGGTGAATCATTTGTATAATCCCAGCTACTCAGGAAGTAAATACAACAAAAAGGAATAGGGGCAAGGTCAAATGGTAAAGCACTTACCTACCAAGCAGGGGGTTCTAAGTTCAAACTCTATTATAACCAAAATAAAAATGTCATTGGTAAATATAAATAGGCTGAGCATTGTTGCACCAATTTCAATGATACTACTGGCCATAAGGAATTGATAGGTCTAGATACAATAGTAGTCAATGACTTCAATACCCCACTCTCATCAATAAATCATCTAGACAAAAAGTTTAACTAGATATCTCAGAGCAAACTGCAACGTAGATCAAATGAACTCTTAACAGATATCTACAGAATAGTCCATTCAACAGCTCTTTAATATACATTCTTCTTAGTTGCACATAGAACTTTCCCTAAATAGATTATATTTTAGATTACATGTTTAAATAGGGATACAGGCAGACCCACTGCAACAATGAGATGTATAAGATGCTATGCTGAAAAACGAACTTTACAACTTTGGTGGAAGAGGGAAAGTGTAGTTGTGGAGATGGGAGGGCAGGGATGGTATGGGAAAAACAAAGGAGGAGGCAACAATGTTGATAAGAAATGTACTTATTACCTTGCTCATGTAATTGTGACCCCTCTGTACAGTATTTTCACAATAAAAAAACTTTCTAAAAAATAAAAGATTACATGGAAAATCATATAAAATCAAAAAATAATTTCCTATATCTTAGCAGGTCAAAATACAATAAAATTTAGAAATTAATAGAGAAATTAGAAAGGCTATATGAACACGTGGACATTGGACAACTAACTTTTTTTTTTATAATTTTATTTTATTTTATTTTATTTGTGAA